GTGACATTCCATGAGACATAATTTGCCTTTCTATAGACTGCAAGTTAACTTCTATCTGTACATATTTTAAAATGGCGTTAGTCAAAGACAAATATGGACAGCTGGCCAGGACACCCACTAAATTTCAAAGTCATAATTTCCCCTTACATTATAAATGACAGGCTCCATTGCATCTGATATTTTACATTAGATACGTGACTTTGTAGTTTATTTTTAAGAAACTGATCATTTGTACCAAAAGAGGTAAAAATTACTTTTTCTTAAGGGCCCTAGTTTTATTCTTTACTCATTACATACTCAGTCCGTTGAACCCATCAGTCCATAGATTATTCACAGCATGAAAAATTCTTTCCATTCTAACAGTATACACTGGCATCAAAATAGAATTTTGAGCCAGTTTCAATATATTTGGAGCAACAGGCTCTTTGTTGAAAAACATTTCCAGGTATCAAGAAATGTTATTCTCTCAAGTCAAGGGAACTAGACACAAATGTCCTCATACAGAGAATTTGGAGAAATTCTTGGGTCCCGCCAGGCTGCGGCTTGTATCTTATCCCCTTCGCCAGGTGCTGGGTTCTCACGGGTGTGGATGTAGCCTGGCTGTTGTCCTGTGTCTTCTGGTCTCTCTTTTAGGGAGAGTTGTATTTGTCGTATTTTCAAAAATATATGTGGTTTTGGGGGGAGATTTCCGCTGCTCTACTCACGCCACTATCTTGGTTCTCCTCTAGCTTAGTTTTGTTTTTTAACATCAGTTTCTACTTTTATCTATTAATGGATTTCTTCTACTTTTTCCCTCTTATATTCCTAAAATCATGCATTTTCCTCTCAGTACAGTTTTGGCTTCATCACATAGTTTAACATATAGTTTCTTATTATTTGTGGTTTATAAATAGTCCATAATCTTGGCTTTTATTTCTTCTTTTACCCAGGAATTATCCAAATTTTCCAAGCAATTGGATTTTGAAGTTATCATTATTAGTTTTCACCTTCTTTCATTCAAGAAATATTTAGGCAGTATTTTCTGTGCCCGGAACCATACCAGATACAGAGAACAATAGAATGAATGATACAACCAGCATGGCCACTGCCCTCATGGGATTCATCATTTGCTGAGTGGGGCACAGATGTAATCACATGATTAATCACAATCATAATAAAAATGGAAGAATCCCAGGGTGCCTCAACACTTCTCAACTTTCCTATAAGGGAAGTTGCCTGTTGCATTTACTGAACTTTTCCCTAATCTATTTCCATACCTCTTTTCCTGAACATGAATGCTTTTAGTATCCATTTGACTCAGGTAGCAAATAATTTATTTTCTTGTATGTATTTCTGATGGTTCCTTCCTGAGGTTTCTCATAAACTCTAAAATCTAAAGGTCCTTCATATGAGGCTGTCGGTTTATGGCTCTACTTGTAATAGTTTAAAACGTGTAAGTAATGCTGTTATTTTTTGAATAAACAAACCCTCTGTTTAAAAAATTAAAACTTAAAAGATATTTTTCAGCATAACACATTCCCATTAATTT